AAATGATAATCTACCTTAACCAAAATCAAAGTAGACTATCACTCACCCACACCAGATGGAAAACTCTACAGACTGTATATATATATATATATATGTATGAACTGCCCGGTAAACCGTAGGCAGAGAGGGAGAAGAGGACAACAAACGAGGGGCTGTGACAAACTGTATATATATATATATATTTTTGGTTTTCTGCGCTCTCCCAGAGGACTCCAAATCCGGGCTCATTTCGATTTTTGCGAGTTGACTGTCAAGGCGGGGGGAGGGGGGTATAAATTGGTTTTAAAGAGGCTAAAGGGGTCTAAAGGGGGGTGCCTTTGTGTGATTCTGTTATTTTCTTTTTTATCTCCGATTCTGTGAGGAATTATAATGTGACCCTCAGCCAAAAGTGGTTTGCATTTCAATCCTACACAACATTTKTTTTTTCCGGAATTTTTTGAGGTTTTTTTTTTTTTTTTTTTTGGCGCTGGGGCTGCCCGGAACCCTGCCCGGGGGTCATGCCCGGCCGGGCACCCGGGCGTGTAGCCGGGCAGAAGTTGGGTGCCCGGGCGCCTGGGAAAACAGCCTAGGTATTACGTAAAAAAAATAATGATTGCTGGGGATTCTTAAAGTTTCGCGCCCATTTGAGATTTTCCTGAGTTTATAGGGGGGGAACGAGTATAACCATGCGCACATCAAGGGTGGGAGGGCAGTAGGGAATTGGCATGAAAAGTCAGATGCATCATCATGAGCGGGGACGATCACACATAAATTTTAAATAAATTTTAAAGAAACTAATAGTACAAAGTTTAATTAGCGGATCGTTCTAGTGAGTCGATCAAAACATATGTGAGAAGAGGTGGAGAACACCGGGTTAATTGGTAGGTGTACACTTAGGTTCGTAGTAACAATGTATATCAATTGCAGAGATGACAGTCGGTGATGCTTGAGCGCTGCATTCATGTTATCTTGTGTTATATCGTCAAAAAAGACCATTCTCAACTTAAGGAAAATTTTACGGACATTTTCGGTCGTGCGGGGAGGTTGCGGGAGTAGGTTGGGTGCAGACTGAGGGTTTTTTACTTGGTCCGACCATCAGTCATGAATGTGCAATTGTTGTGCATAGTGAACACAATGAGTAGGGGGGTTAGTCCACATGGTCGTACGCTTTTTCGAAATCTATAAAGATGAAAGCGGCATTGCACTTGGACTGGCGGGAGAGGCGCGATAGTTCGTTCACTAATAGAATATTATCGTGGATGCGACGACCCTTGAGGAAGCTGGTTTGTGAAGGATGTATTATCTGCTTTAAGGTCGATGCCATCTGGTTGGCAAGCGCTTTGGATAACATTTTATAAACAACGGTTAACAACGTAATAGGTCTGTAGTTTCGTATATTCATTTTGTCCCCTTTTTTATATAGCAATGTGAGCACCCCTTGTCCAGCTATTTCCCCCATCGCTCCCTCTTCCCACACCTTCCCAAAAAGTCAATCAATCTACAAAAAATATTGAGAATAAAAATTGTAAGATTTCGTTACTCTCGTATAATTGTATATTGAGTTCTCTATTCTTTTTATCTAAACGGAAATCCTTAATTTGTAAGTGCTGGAGTTTCGCCTTGTAGAGTGTAGTCTCATATCTGTTTTTTTGCACTGGTTGTGGGAGATAGTGGGGTTTTCTTCTTCAGCAACCCCTCTATGTGGGGGTCACATAGGTAGGGTTAACTGTCGATTGGCTAACTGGGATAGTAGATGGAGGGACACGACGCATCCTGCTGACGAGGGGGCTAGTTGGTGGGACGGGAATAGGGCACAGCAACGACGAAGATGGTGGTCCGTTGTGATAAGTCTTGCCGGAGTGGGGTTTGGGGGGGGGGTTAGGTGGTCCAAGTGTACCAAACACGACCAGTGCGCGAAGGGAGTCAGATAGTGGTGATGTTCAGTGGATCGCTCGATGGCGGGTTATCGCCATCATATCCACGGGTTTACGGTTGGCCGATGTCAGAACGACGCTGGCCGGAGCTGGGGTTTGGTTGCACTACCCTGTAACCTGGGTCATGTGGGGGTTAGAGGCCTGGTAGAGAGATTTGGGGAACTACCGAGGGTGGAGGGCGGTCATGTGGCTAACCGTGAGCGGTTACTAGGACCACACTGATAGGAGCTAGGGAGGGTCGCACCGCCCTTTAACCCAGCCGTTGGGGATGTGAGACCAGGTTGAGCTTAGTATTTAGGATGGGTGGGTTGAGGCAGCTGTAGAGTGGTCTGTTGAATAACTCAGAGGTAACGTGGTTTTGGATACATTGGCTACCGAGTTATCTCAAATTGGTTTTCATTCTTCAGAACTAAGTCCGTTGGTTTCGGTTGTTTATGGGCAGTTTTAAGAATGCTTTAGGATTCTAGAGACTTCTAGCAACCCGCTTTAGGCTGTTTGATACAGGTACATTCATGGATCTGCGGTTGTTCGTCGCCAGAACGACGCTGGAAGGTGTTGGGGTGTTGCCCTATAACCTGCTGATTGCAGGAGCATGAGGCCTGGTAGAGAGATTTGGA